ATGTTGGTCAGGCTGGTCTTGAACTCCTGACCGCAAGTGATCACCCACCTTGGCTTCCCAAAGTGCTGGGATTACAGATGTGAGCCACTGCACCCCGCCTGGTTTCGTTTTGCTAAGTGATCGCATGCTCTGCCCACTTGGAGACTGGAGAATTTAGAGGATAGAAATTTACCTCAACTAGAATTTCTGCTAAACAAATAATTAAATGATACTGTGTGACAAGATATTCTAATTAAAGAATTTAAGATACAAGGTTTTTAGGATGAGTAAATGTAGATAAATACATTAATCTTTTTTTTTTTAATAGCAGCAGCTGGTGTTTTGAATGTAAATGTGAAGAAGGAAATATCTAGTCCAGCAAGACCTTGCTCCTTTGAAGAGGCCATGAAAGGTACCAAGTAGATTATTCTCAAAAATCGTAATTGGGTGCTCCTGTATGTTTTCTCTAGCACACCTTACTGTTTTATTTTCTCTTAAGTACTTACAATACTTTGCAGGGTATCTTTCATATTGTAAAATAAATACGTGTTTAACTTTACTAAATGTAGAGACTTGTTTTCCAATTTGATATTTTTCTTGCTGAATATGTTTATATATATTTTAAAGTACATTGGAATGGAGGAGTTTTGTTTTTTTGTTTTTTGTTTTTTTAATTCCCCAATATTAAAAGTATATGAGGCCGGGCACAGTGGTTCATGCCTGTAATCCCAGCTTTTTGGGAGGCCAAGGCAGGTAGATCATTTGAGGTCAGGAGTTCAAGACCTGCCTGGCCAACATGGTGAAACCCTGTCTCTACTAAAAATACAAAAATTAGCCAGGGGTGGTGGCAGGTGCCTGTAGTCCCAGCTGCTCGGGAGGCTGAGTCAGGAGAATCTCTTTAATCTGGGAGGCAGAGGTTGCAGTGTGCCAAGATCATGCCACTGTACTCCAGCCTGGGTCACAGAGCGAGACCCTGTCTCAAAAAAAAAAAAAAAAAAGGAAAGTAAGGCCAGGCACAGTGGGCCACACCTATAGTCCCGGCACTTTGGGAGACGAAGGTAGGAAGATTACTTGAGTCCAGAAATTTGAGATGATAGATATCCATTGGCTAATAATTAAATGCATCATCTATAGTTATTGCTGAACAGATATGGGCAGCACAGTGAGAAGATTTCTTGTCTCTACCAAAAAAAAATTAAAACAGGCCAGGCACAGTGGCTCACGCCTATAATGCCAGCACTTTGGGAGGCCGAGGCGGGCTGATCACCTGAGGTCAGGCATTCAAGACCAGCCTGACCAACATGGAGAAACCCATTCTCTACTAAAAATACAAAATTAGCCAGGCATGGTGGTACATGCCTGTTATCCCAGCTACTCGAGAAGCTGAGACAGGAGAATTGCTTAAATCTAGGAAGCAGAGATTGCAGTGAGCCGAGATCGTGCCACTGCACTTCAATCTGGGCAACAAAAAACTCCCATCTCAAAAAAAAAAAAAAAAAATAGGCCAGGCGCGGTGGCTCATGCCTTTAATCTCAATACTTTTGGGAAGCTGAGCTTTGCAGATCACCTGAGGTCAGGAGTTCAAGACCAGTCTGGTCAACATGGCAAAACCCCATCTCTACTAAAAATACAAAAAGTATTAGCCTGGCATGGTGATATGTGCCTGTAATCCCAGCTACTCTGGAGGGTGAGGCAAGAGAATCGCTTGAACCCTGGAAGTGGAGGTTGCAGTGAGCCGAGATTGTACCACTGCTCTCTCCAGCCTGGGCAACAGAGCAGGACTCGGTCTCAAAAAAAAAAAAAAAAAAAAAAAAATTATAAACATTAACCGGGCATGGTGGCATGCACCTATCATCCTAGTTATTCATGATACCGAGGTAGGAGGATTGCTTAACCTGAAGAGGTTGAAGCTGGATTGAGCTGTGATCATATCACTGCACTCCAGCATGGGCAAAGGAACAAGACTCTCAAAAACAAAACAAAGCAGAAATTTGTTTTGTTTATGTACCTTTTTGATAAAAAATTTAAATCAGGCTGGGCATGGTGGCTCACACCTATAATCCCAGCACTTTGAGGGGCTGAGGTGGGTGGATCACCTGAGGTCAGGAATCTGAGACCAGCCTGGCCAACATGCTGAAACCTCATCTCTACTAAAAATACAAAATTTAGCTGGGCGTGGTGGTGCGTGCCGGTAATCCCAGCTGCTCGGGAGATTGGGCAGAAGAATTTCTCGAACCCGGGAGGCAGGGATTGCAGTGAGCCGCGATCATGCCACTGCACTCCGGCCTGGGCGACAGAGTAAAACTCTACCTCAAAAAATATATATAAATCACATATGAGAAATAGTTTGGTAAATAGAGATTACTTGAGAAAAAATGCAAGTGTTGGATTGTAATGCATTGACGCCAGCTTGATGTTCTTAGAGCAAATTAATTCTTAATGAGGAGGAGAAAAAAATTAATCTGATATTTTCATTTATAATGTACTACTAAATTGAAGTTGACTAGAAGATTATTATTAAATTAACAAGATGGAACATATCTGACCAACTTAATGTCTGGCCTGGAGACATTTTGGACTGTTTTTGGTGGGACTAGACTTAGATAAAATTGGAACAAGGCCAGATGCAGTGGCTCACGCCTGTAATCCCAGCACTTTGGGAGGCCAAGCTGGTGGATCACCTGAGGTCAGGAGTTTGAGACCTGCCTGGCCAACATGGCAAAACCCTGTCTCTACTAAAAATAAAAAATTAGCCGGGCATGGTGGCATGTGCCTGTAATCCCAGCTGGTTGGGAGGCTGAGACAGGAGAATCGCTTGAATCCAGGAGGCGAAGGTTGTAGTGAGCCCAGATTGAGCCACTGCACTCCAGCTTGGGCAACAGAGTGAGACTCTGGAAAAAAAAAAAAAAAGGATTGGAACATAAATAAAATTAACCTCTGTGACCTTTGTGCATATGACAGTAGAAAGACTTATATCTTTGCATGAGCATTAGACTAAAATGTCCTTTTACTGTTTGTCTTACCAGTAGACATACTTGTCAGTGGTCAGCTGAGGATAGATAAAAGAGTCTTGCTCAACTTACTCTGCCTAGTCTCACTTTCCAGAAAGGGGGAGAAGATAATAAGCATTACTATCTAAATACATTTTAAGAAAAATTGTAGATCTGTTAAGCAGTAACTGTATAGGTGATATATTTATTTATATGTAATTTCTAATTGAATTATAATATAATCTTGTCTGTAAACATGGAAATTTTTAGACCAAAAATAATGTTAATAAAAATATAAGCCAGAAACAGTGGCTAGTGCCTATAATCCCAACTACTCAAGGGATTGAGGTGGGAGGATCACTTGAATCCCGTAGTTTGCGACTGCAGGTACTACACTCCAGCCTGGGTAACAGAATGAGACCCTGCCTCTAATTGAATAAATGAGTGAGTGAATGAATGAATGAATGAATATTTTTAAAAAGAAAAATACAGACTGTATATTTTTATTTTTATTTATTATTATTATTACTTGAGATGGAATCTTGCTTTGTTGCCCAGGCTGGAGTGCAGTGGCATGGTCTCAGCTTACTGCAACCTCCAACCTCTGCCTCCTGCGTTCAAGTGATTCTCCTGGCTCAGTCTCTCCAGTAGCTGAGATTTACAGGTGCCCTGTACCACGCTTGGCTATTTTTTATTTTATTTTATTTTATTTTTTGTATTTTTAGTAGAGACAGGGTTTCACCATGTTGGTCAGGCTGGTCTCGAACTCCTGACCTCGTGGTCCACTTGCCTCCGCCTCCCATATTACTGGGATTACAAGCATGAGTCACTGCACCGGGTCCATATTTTTATTTTTGTAGGATTAACCAAATAATCCACAACAAACTAAATTGACAGTGATAAAGCTAAAGTAAGATTAATTCTTTTCTTCATTCACTCAGCAAACATTTGTTGATTACCTACTGTGCAACAGGCGATAACATCTGCCTTCATGGAGCTCATGATCTAATGAAATTCAAAAGCAAGAATAGTAGTTGACTATTACAGGATCAACTTAAGATAACACCAATGGTTTTAAAAATGTTCTATGGGATATTCTTAGATTACTTTTAAATGCCTGCCCTGTACATGATCTGAAGTTTTGTCTCAGTCCAAATTAAGTTGTAGGCCGAGTGTGGTGGCTCATGCCTATAATCCCAGCACTTTGGGAGGCCTAGCAGGGAGGATCACTTGAGCTCAGGAGTTCAAGACCAGCCTAGGCAACATAATGAGACTCTTGTCTCTACAAAAAAATTTAAAAAATTAGTCAGGCATGGTGGTGTGTGCCTGTAGTCCCAGCTACTTGTGGGGCTGAGGTAGGAGGATTGCCTGAGCCCAGGAGGTGGAGGTTGCAGTGAGGCCTGATTGTACCACTGCACACCCACCAACAGAGAGAGACCCTGTCTCAAATAAAATAAATAAAATAAAATAAAATAAATTAAAATAAAATAAAAATCTGGTGGTTAGGAGAATTGTATTGGTATTAGAATTTAGGTGAAAATAGGTCCAAAGAACTCTTGAATAAATGATTTATTTCTCAAACAGGTAGAATAATAAAACATGGAATGTCAAAAGTTAAATGAGCACTTTCCCCTCTATCAAAATAATCAGTTTTCATAGGAATTAGGTTTTTAGCCAAATGGCTGTGAGGCAAGTTGAAGACAAGAAAATTGCAAATATATTTTTAGATGAAAATATTTACTTTCAGTTTTTTTTTTTTTTTTTTTTTTTTGAGACAGAGTCTTGCTCTGTTGCCTAGCCTGCAGTACGGTAGAGCGATCTCAGCTCACTGCAACCTCCTTCTCCCGGATTCAAGCGATTCTTGTGCCTCAGCCTCCCAAGTAGCTAGGATTTACAGGCATGTGCCACCATGCCTTGCTAATTTTTGTATTTTTAGTAGAGACAGAGTTTCACCATGTCGGCCTGGCTGGTCTCGAACTCCTGGCCTCAAGTAATCCGCCCGCCTCAACCTTCCAAAGTGCTGAGATTACAGGCATGAGCCACCACACTTGGCCTTTCAGCAGCATATTGACTAACAATAACAACAAAAAAAATTTATGAAGGGAGCTATCCAACTTATATACCATGTGCCTTTTTAAAAGCTTTATAGCCAGGATTTCTTCTCGGTATCAAATTAAGAAATTTAACAGCTATGCTTTCTGAAGACTCTTTCCATAGAGCCTCCAAGTGGTAGTAAACTTTTAAATCAGGATTTGGCTATGTGCTCAACTCAGAAGATTGTCATTAGCAGTAGCAGTAGCTACCACTGAGTGCCAGTGCAGACTCAGGTAGACAAAAAAGAAGAAAGAAAAGCAATCAAGGGGGAAAAGTAGATATAGTGGAGTGGTAGAATCTTGCTATATGTTGCCTCTAGGTACAAATCTAGAACTAACTACTCCTCAAAATGGAGGTGGTAGGAGGTGGGAAATAATTTTTCATTTTCCTTGGGAAATTTGGTTTGTAAACCTAAAATAGCCCTTATTTCTGGGGGAAAAAAAAAAGATGTTTAAAGTCCAGTCTAAAAGAGAATTGTGTCCATGTGCCAACTTGTCATATTCAAATTTTCTAATTAGTTTTCTTTTAATTTAGAAAAGCAAAATTTATTGATCACTGGGTGGTATTTTCTAATGAGAAGCTTGAACTTAGTTTAAGAAAGAAGTGCTCTGACAATCTCATAGCCCTTAAGAAGTTCTGAGACTTTATATTGTCAGACAGCTAAATCCTAAGAGAAGAGTGTAGTGGTTGTAATTGAGTAGCTTTATCCTCCTGGAGATTTTTAAGCTGTATCCTATAATATACTCTGGTCAGGTTGGGTAGTATGATTCAAGGCACTTGGAACGGTCTTGGGGAATATAGCCTGGTAATCAAACTGCTTAAGCTTATTATTAATATTTAAGCTATAGTTCCAGGCCCATTCCAGAGGGGTCCCCCAGCCAATGCACTTCATAAAAGGGAAGATACATCTTAATATACCAGTTTTGTATCTCATGCTACCATTATAGCATCAAAAAATAGACATTTAAATCATGACTAATAATAAATTTTAGAATAAAATAGTTGGTAATTTTTGTGATTTTAAACTTTTCTTTTTTTGTGTGTGTATGCAGCAATGAAAACTACTGGATGTAATTTAGATAAGGTAAATATTATTCCTAACGCCCTGATCACTCCACTCATACCAAGCAGTATGATTAAGAGTGAAGATGTTACTCCAATGGAAGTAACAGCAGACAAAAGATCTTCCACTATTTTTAAGGTAAGCTATAATGACTACTGCTCCAACTTCTAACCTCCTATATAAAAATTGCTGTCTTTTACTTTTCCTATTTTTTTCACATTGCTTTTACTTTGGATGTACTTAATGAATTTTGTTGTAAAGAGGGAATGCTTTATACTTCAGCAAAATTGCCCACAAAGTGACTTGCAATACACATTTTGACAAGGGAGGAATTAATATGTTATATGAGATATTAATGAAAGTACTAATTTTAGCATTTTGAGAATTAAGAGGTGTTTTTATTTTTTTCCCAGTCTTTTCCCGTAACTTTCTATTTCTTTTTTTTTACTTGTCTTCTCCCCTGTAATGTTACTGAGGAGCCGCAAAATGGAGATATTTTGATACCTGCTCTTCATGAACCATAAAATTAATGTGTTCTGATTACCCTTAATTCACCTAAGTATATCAATAGCTGATTATTCTACTTCTTTGTTTGACTATCTTTGCTTATAGTACTTTTTAAAAATATATCCCAAGGAAAATGAGGCATCATGTAATGGAGAATTGTAGTCCCATACCTGTTTTCTAAATGATAATAATATAGAGGGGAAAACTGGTCCTGCATATATTTTTAGAACAATAGTGATTTTTTTTCCCCCCTTGAGACGGATGGAGTCTCTCTCTGTCGCCCAGGCTGGAGTGCAGTGGCATGATCTCAGGTCACTGCAAGCTCCGCCTACCAGGTTCACGCCATTTTCCTGCCTTAGCCTCCCGAGTGACTGGGACTACAGGCACCCGCCACCTCGCCCGGCTAATTTTTTGTCTTTTCAAAAGTAGAGACGGGTTTTGACGGTGTTAGCCAGGATGGTCTCGATCTTCTGACCTCGTGATCTGCCCGCCTTGGCCTCCCAAAGTGCTGGGATTACAGGCTTGAGCCACCGTGCCTGGCCAAACAATAGTGATTTTTGATATATGTTACAAACTTATTTAATGTTTATATATTCATATTATTTGGGGATTTTTATGTTTTAGACTACAAAGACAGTCGGATCAACTCAGCAAGCGTTAGAAAACATCTCAAACATAGCAGGAAATGGCTCTTTTTCATCACCATCATCTTCCCACCTACCTTCTGAAAATGAAAAACAGCAGCAGATTCAGCCCAAGGCATACAACCCAGAGACCCTGACAACTATTCAAACCCAGGACATCTCACAGCCTGGTACTTTTCCAGCAGTTTCTGCTTCTAGTCAGCTGCCCAACAGCGATGCATTATTGCAGCAGGCTACACAGTTTCAGACAAGAGAAACTCAGTCTAGAGAGGTATTACAGTCAGATGGCACAGTGGTTAATTTGTCACAACTGACTGAGGCGTCACAACAACAGCAGCAGTCACCACTACAAGAACAAGCACAGACTTTACAGCAGCAGATTTCATCAAATATTTTTCCATCACCAAATAGTGTGAGTCAGCTTCAGAATACTATTCAGCAGCTGCAAGCAGGGAGTTTTACAGGCAGTACTGCTAGTGGCAGCAGTGGAAGTGTTGACTTGGTCCAGCAAGTTTTAGAGGCACAGCAACAGTTATCTTCAGTTTTATTTTCTGCTCCAGATGGTAATGAGAATGTTCAAGAGCAGCTTAGTGCAGATATTTTTCAACAAGTCAGTCAAATTCAGAGTGGTGTAAGCCCTGGAATGTTTTCCTCAACAGAGCCAACGGTCCATACCAGACCAGATAATTTATTACCTGGAAGAGCTGAAAGTGTTCATCCACAGTCTGAAAACACGTTATCTAATCAACAGCAGCAGCAACAACAACAGCAAGTGATGGAATCTTCAGCCGCAATGGTGATGGAGATGCAACAGAGTATCTGCCAGGCAGCTGCCCAGATTCAGTCAGAATTATTCCCTTCAACTGCTTCAGCAAATGGAAACCTTCAGCAATCGCCAGTTTACCAGCAGACTTCTCACATGATGAGTGCATTGTCTACCAATGAGGATATGCAAATGCAGTGTGAATTGTTTTCTTCTCCTCCTGCAGTTTCTGGAAATGAAACTTCTACAACCACCACACAGCAGGTTGCAACCCCTGGCACTACCATGTTTCAGACATCAAGTTCAGGAGATGGAGAAGAAACTGGAACACAAGCAAAACAGATTCAAAACAGTGTCTTTCAGACCATGGTCCAAATGCAACATAGTGGGGACAATCAACCTCAAGTTAACCTTTTTTCATCCACAAAAAGTATGATGAGTGTTCAGAATAGTGGTACCCAGCAACAAGGTAATGGTTTATTCCAGCAAGGGAATGAGATGATGTCACTTCAATCTGGAAATTTTTTGCAGCAGTCTTCTCATTCACAGGCCCAACTTTTTCATCCTCAGAATCCTATTGCCGATGCTCAGAATCTTTCCCAGGAAACTCAAGGTTCTCTCTTTCATAGTCCAAATCCTATTGTCCACAGTCAGACTTCTACAACCTCCTCTGAACAAATGCAGCCTCCAATGTTTCACTCTCAAAGTACCATTGCTGTGTTACAGGGCTCTTCAGTTCCTCAAGACCAGCAGTCAACCAACATATTTCTTTCCCAGAGTCCCATGAATAATCTTCAGACTAACACAGTAGCCCAAGAAGCATTTTTTGCAGCACCGAACTCAATTTCTCCACTTCAGTCAACATCAAACACTGAACAACAAGCTGCTTTCCAACAGCAAGCTCCAATATCACACATCCAGACCCCTATGCTTTCCCAAGAACAGGCACAACCCCCCCAGCAGGGTTTATTTCAGCCTCAGGTGTCCCTGGGCTCCCTTCCACCTAATCCAATGCCTCAAAGCCAACAAGGAACCATGTTCCAGTCACAGCACTCAATAGTTGCCATGCAGAGTAACTCTCCATCCCAGGAGCAGCAGCAACAGCAGCAACAGCAGCAGCAACAGCAGCAGCAACAACAACAGGGCATTTTATTCAGTAATCAGAATACCATGGCTACAATGGCGTCTCCAAAGCAACCACCACCAAACATGATATTCAACCCAAATCAAAATCCAATGGCTAATCAGGAGCAACAGAACCAGTCAATTTTTCACCAACAAAGTAATATGGCCCCAATGAATCAAGAGCAACAGCCCATGCAATTTCAGAGTCAGTCCACAGTTTCCTCACTTCAGAACCCAGGTCCTACCCAGTCGGAATCATCACAGACCCCCTTGTTCCATAGCTCTCCTCAGATTCAGTTGGTACAAGGGACACCTAGTTCTCAAGAGCAGCAAGTAACACTCTTCTTATCTCCAGCATCCATGTCTGCCTTGCAGACCAGTATAAATCAACAAGATATGCAACAGTCTCCTCTTTATTCCCCTCAGAACAACATGCCTGGAATTCAAGGAGCCTCATCTTCGCCTCAACCACAGGCTACTTTATTTCACAACACAGCAGGAGGCACAATGAACCAACTACAGAATTCTCCTGGCTCATCTCAGCAGACATCAGGAATGTTCTTATTTGGCATTCAAAATAGTAAGAAACTCTTAATTTTTCATTACTTAATTGGTCATCATTATTATTAGAAGAAAGCAGAGTGCAGTGGTGCAATCTTGACTGATTGCACCCTCTGCCTCCCAGTTTCAGGTGATTCTCCTGCCTCAGCCTCCTGAGCAGCTGGGATTACAGGTTTGCACAACACACCCAGCTAATTTTTGTATTTTTGTTAGAGACGGGGTTTCACCATGTTGACCAGGCTGGTGTCGAATTTTTGACCTCAAGTGATCTGCTGGCCTCGGCCTCCCAAAGTGCTGGGATTACAGGTGTGAGCCACCGCACCTGTCCTGTACAGTTGTTTTAAGAGTGTAGATTGTAGTTAGAACTCTATCACCTATAGACTATGAGATCTTGTACAAGTTATTTGGCTTTTATGGGTCTCAATTCTCTCATTTAAAATGGTGATAATAGGCCGGGCGCCTATGTATAAAAATGTGTGTTTGCCATTTTAAGCTATAAACTTAAAAGGAAAACGAAGTAAGAATGACAGATAATATTTTAGCCAATTGAAGTCAGTAGTTTCTAAGGAGGTAGAAACCCATCTTTAGGCCGGGCGCAGTGGCTCAAGCCTGTAATCCCAGCACTTTGGGAGGCCGAGACCAGCGGATCACGAGGTCAGGAGATCAAGACCACCCCAGCTAACACGGTGAAACCCAATCTCTACTAAAAAATACAAAAAAAAAAAAAACCTAGCTGGGCGAGGTGGCGGACGCCTGTATTCCCAGCTACTCGGGAGGCTGAGGCAGGAGAATGGTGTAAACCCGGGAGGCGGAGCTTGCAGTGAGCTGAGATCCGGCCACTGCACTCCAGCCTGGGCGACAGAGCAAGACTCCGTCTCAAAAAAAAAAGAAACCTGCCGGGCTCGGTGGCTCACGCCTGTAATCCCAGCACTTTGGGAGGCCGAGGCGGGCGGATCACAAGGTCAGGAGATCGAGACCACGGTGAAACCCTGTCTCTACTAAAAATACAAAAAATTAGCCAGGCGCGGTGGCGGGTGCCTGTAGTCCCAGCTACTCGGGAGGCTGAGGCAGGAGAATGGCGGGAACCTGGGAGGCGGAGCTTGCAGTGAGCCGAAGTCGCGCCACTGCACTCCAGCCAGGGGGACAGAGCCAGACTCCGCCTCAAAAAAAAAAAAAAAAGAAACCCATCTTTAATGTTAATATACCAAGGAATTTATATAGGACTTTTGATATTTAAGCAAAGTTGTATTTTTAGACTGCTTAAAGGAAACCTAAGATGAATTCCAGTGCCAATCTGTGAAAACTTTTTTCTTGGACTGTCAGGTGCCTAACTTTTAGTAATGTACAAAGAGAATGCAGTAATGAATTTGCCCCAACAACTAATATCTTTTCATGAATCTTCACTAACCAGATACCTTCTATTTTCAATGTCTCTGCAGACTGTAGTCAGCTTTTAACCTCTGGACCAGCTACATTGCCTGATCAGTTGATGGCCATAAGTCAGCCAGGCCAACCACAAAATGAGGGCCAGCCACCTGTGACAACACTTCTTTCTCAGCAAATGCCAGAGAATTCTCCACTGGCATCCTCTATAAACACCAACCAGAACATCGAAAAGATTGATTTGCTTGTTTCGTTGCAAAACCAAGGGAACAGCTTGACTGGCTCCTTTTAACTGGATATGTAAGTATTGCATTTTGGCTTCTTATTGGAAAGCATCAGATTTTATTCTTAACAGATTTAGGTTAAGTAATAGTAGTTTACTTCTAAACTTTTAAAATGTGACTTCCTCACAAGATGATACTTTTTTACTCTGCATAAAATTATTCTGAATGATAGCTTATGGTCATATAGTTAATACAGACCAAACATCCCTAGTCCAAAAATCCAAAATCCAAAATGCTCTGAAATCCGAATCTTTTTGAGTGCTGACATGACATCTCAAGTGGAAAATTCCACACCTGACCTCATATGATAGGGTCATAGTCAAAATGCAGGCTCACAACATGCAGTTGATTTGGTGTCCCTGAGGGAAAAAAAGATTTTCCCAGCTCCCTTCAGCTGTGATAGATCTTTTTAGGTGTATATGAAACAGAAGTGAATTACATGTTTGGACTTGTGTCTTATTCCCAAGATATCTCATTGTGTGTATGTACATATTCCAAAATCCAAAAAAGAAATCGGAAATACTTCTGATCCCAAGCATTTTAGATAAGGGATATTCAACCTATATTGGAAATTCCTTCTGCTTCTGAGCTTCTTTGCCTTGGAATAACAAAACATCTGATGAGTATGCACAGTGTGTTTCCTCTGTACTATATATTGGATATAATCATCCCTTCCTCCAGAAATAAATATTGAGTCAGAAAAGTCTGTGGAAGATCAAATATGAAAAAGTTTTACTTATAGTACCATAATATACTTTAGGATCATTCAGGGTGTCAGACACTTTATAAATACTTCCCTCCCTCGTAAGTTACATTAAACTTTTTCTCTTTTTTAGAAATTCCATGAAGAAAATCCTGATTCCAAGATGTCCTGAGATCTTGTGGTTCCATGAGAATTATTATTTTAAAAACAAAACAAAATATGAAAAACTGTATTTGAGTAAATTGATAGATTTTATTCTGACTGCAAAAGAGCACACCTATGCTGCTTGTTGCAGTGACTAACCACAAATGTTAACATCTTCATATTTTATATTCCTAATAACAGTGATGACTGAGAATCTATTTGAGTTTCCAGCTGGCAGAATTAATTGTTATTATTTTCCTAGGCGCAATTTCCTTAAACGTACAGTTTAAATTAAAGGCTGGACCACTCAGTTATTATTGCTATTAGAAAATAATATATCATGTTTACTTTCGTTCTTCATTATTTTCTTTCCTGCATTGTTTTAGTCAAGTAATGGCTTTTGAAAAAGTAAAGTTCAATAGTAACTAAGGTGGTGATTTTTTTCAATATAAAAGGCACAGCTGTTGGCCAAAGTGAAGGAATCTTTTTTCAGTTTTATTGGAGAAACTGAAGGGGTAACATTCTAACAAGTAAACTGTATATGCAGATAAAAGAACTCTTGATTTAACACAAAGGCAGATGATACACTTAGAAAACTGGGAACAGCTGGAATGCCATTGATTTTATTTTTTCAGAGAGTTGTTCGTTGTCTGGGTTTCTACTAAGGGGTTTAGCCATAACTGTGCATAGAAAAATAATTATCTTTATCTGTAAAAAATGAAGGGGATAATATATGATAAATTATGTTCTGATATCCTCCTACAGTAGTTTAAATTGACAGAAAAATTTGAGTGTTTTATTCTTAACCCAGTCTTAGGCTGGTGTTCCCTTTTTATATACATCTATATTACTTTTCACCTCTTTTTCACTTTACTTTAGAGAACTATTGATATACTACTGGCTTTATGACCCTGTAGCATCTTTGGCCACTTTAATCTAGGGTGACCTAGCAGTCCTGCAGCACAGGGCAGAAAGTACTGTCTTAGGAATTATTGGGAGTTAATTCCTGAGAAACAACACATTTTTCCCCATGAACGGTGCTGTTCTGAAGTCTTCAAATTTTTCCCTCTAATAGGAAACAGTATAAATTTTAATTTAAAAAAAAGGCAAACTAAAATTTCTTGAAACATCACTTCTCCCTGATCTGCAGTGAGTATAAATTCACTTGTCACCTCAGTGCTTTACAGTTTGAAGTGGTCACTTACCTGATGGTTCCCACAAGCCTTAGGCTTTACAGGGTCATATCATTGACTTAAAATGAAGAATTAACTTGTGTTACATCTATAAAGAGCAAAATAACACACTCCAGAACTTGGCAGTTGTAGCATTAGTTATACAGTTTTGGGCGTTGTTGCCACCCGTGGGATGCCTGCTTCTCACTACCACCTGTGTCTGGACACATGCTTATGTCTCATTTTCCTTTTGGCATGTGGAAAGCTGTCAATGCAGTGTAAGGCCAACGTGTGTGTGGCTTCTATGTGTTGATATAATGTTTTGGTATCCTTGTCCGTTTCATTTATTTTTTAAGTGTACAAAAAATAACCTGTTAATTGTTGAAGGCTAACTTTCTGTTCTTTTTTTTTTTTTTTTTCCTATCCTGTACATTTAGTTGAACTGTGTGGAATAGTGGTGTTGGTTTTGTTTATACAGCCAGATTTTTCCTTCTTTTTTTTTTTTTTTTTTTTTGGTGATGATCTTCCTTTGTTCTTTGAATGTGCTCTTTTGTCTTTTTCTCTTTTTTCTCACGTTTTCTTCCCTCCACCTCTGCCCCTTTCTTTCTTTCTCTCTCTGATTGAGAGGCATTGAATTACGTTTTCAGTAGTACAGGCTTCTTGCCGATATGAAGGGAACTTTTCAGAAAGAGACCTACTCTGGGTCATTTAATTTTGAATACAGTTTTCAATCGTTCAAGTTTTGGATGGTTTATATCTAATGTGTGTTTCATTTTTTTGGAAAGCTATATTTTGTATTTAGGAAATGGTATACTATTTTGCTATTTGTACTGAGTGAGTACATTGGCATAAATATAGAAATTTATATATATACATATATATAAACTATTCTTTTTTGCCACACATTTTTGTGGTAAATTTGTGAGTTTGTCTGATGTTCTACCACAACGTGGCGTCTGATAACAGTGAGGGGGGGTGGGGTTTGTTATGTCTTTATTGAGTATTTAAGTATCTTTTGAAACAAATGACCTGTTCATCTGTGGCCATTCCATCAGGCAGTTCCTTGATGTTAGTAGTGGGCTAAAGGCAGCTTACTGTGTGTTTGCTGGAGCTTTCACTCAGCCAAGTGTTAAGAGTCAGGAAACCCATTGAGGCAATTGCGTGAAATGGTGTTTCACAAGAATGAGCCATTCAGTCTTTGCTCACTATATATTTAATATTTTATTATTGTTGTTATTGTTATTATTAATTGGCTTTCTGTATTCTATGCCTTTTATTTATAAAGACACTAAGAAAACCCATGTTTGTAATTTTAATAACATTTTTCCCATCTTGTAATATCCAGAGCTACTTTATAAATTCTCTGAACCAAAAGTATTTTCCTCAGTGTATCTCTTCTCCCCCAGCCCCTATTGGGAAAAATTACCCAGTATAGTTCAGGTTATGAGGAGGATCAGCCACACAATCCAGTGCTTCAGTTTGAAAATGTAGAACTCTAACCCTAAAGTAGGGTTAATTGAAATTTCAGACAAAGCAAACCCAGCAGGTATAAAAAGAAGTAGTAGAAATAAAAATCTGTAAGTTATTTTTGAATTTTCTGAACTTTTTTCTAAGAGATTACATAGGAGACTAAAGAAATCTATCTGTTCACCAAGTTCTAATTAGGATGATTGTTAATACAGAACTGTGGATGAAGTGGCAACTGGCTTGTGTGCTGACTTCTGTGGTTTAGCAAGGGGTTTATTGTTATCAAATGCTGATTGGCAATGCCAAGTCACTGGGACCAATTTTCTGTTTTATAATATCTAAGTTTAGAACAGAATATATACCTGAACTGTAGTGGTTTGATTGGATGGAGGCAGAAAACCCGATTTTTATTCTCATAAATTTTGTGGTTATTTATACAAGGGCTGTGCTATGCTACCATATTCTTGTTCAATAATAATAGGTTTGTTGTTGTTTTTTTTTACATTGTTAAATGTTCCTTACCCCTAAAGGTCAATGTTAAGTACAACGTTCTGAAAATACAATTTGGCTACAAAGAGTATTCATCTTCTTTGAAGCTCAGTGGTTGATATTTGTGCTAATAATGCAATTTCCTGATTACTGTTTCAAGTTATAGCTACATATGGGAGAGACTCAGTGAGCCAGCAAAGGCCATAGAAACAACAATTTATTAAACGTATTTATGGCAGAAGGACCTAAATAAACTGTGAGCCACCTTTTCTTCTTTATATTGTTACATTTAATTGTTCTAGCTTTCAGCAACTCACATTAACGCTTGGAGCTTCTCTCTCTCTCTCTCTCTTTCTCTCTGTGTGTGTGTGTGTGTGTGTGTGTGTGTGTGTGTGTGTATGTGTGTGATTCCTTATTGTCATTCCATTATATATCCACACCAACACCAACATGGGTGAAGATCATTCGAAGTCATATTTTGCCTCTAAGCTTGATCATGTTACCTTTATGATTAAAGTATCGTGTTATTTAGCCAGTGCAAATCTGTTTTAAAACAAATCGTTTTAAAAAAAGAATAAGTTTTTAAGGGCTTTATTATAGAAGAAGTATTAATGAAGGACTTTCCTTCCTCCCTCCCTTTCCTCCCCTCCCTGCCTCCCTTCCTTCCTTCTTCCCTTCCTCCCTGCCTTCTTCGTTTCTCCTTCCCTTATTCCTCCCTCCCTCCTTTCTCCCTTCCTTCCTTCCATCCATCCTTCCTTGCCTTTTATTTTCATTTTTTGTAATATCACATGTGCTGTAGTTTGGAAGTTTATTCTAGTGCATTTCTTGCCCATCAGAACCTCAGCTAATCTACCTAGGAAAAATAGTATCAAAGGAAATGAGGAAGTTGTATCTGAGTCCCTCTAGAACTAAGATAATTCTTTTTGACCATTTAAGCCTTTATAAATGCTTGTTTTAGGAAAGTGAATCTGTTAGATGCATCAACAAATAATGACCAGGATAAAATGATTTAATAATTAAAGACTCAAAGTCACCATGGTTATACATTTTCACCATACATAGTAATCTTATAATTTTTCATTTTTCTGATGAAAATTTCTCTTCCAATATCTGTTTCCTAATTGATTTTTAAAATTAATTAGCTTTCCTCTGCTTTATGACCATAGGTTTTATCCCTAACCAAGACAGCTGTCTTATATCTGCATGCCTTAGACTGTGTGGAGGGACTCCATGAAGAAAGACCATAGGTTAGAAAAATAACTGCCTATGAATCTCATAATATGTATTAAAAAGAGGTTTTCTTCTCTGCTTGTTAGTGTCACTAGAGCAAAATTGTAGAGATAATGCTCATGATATAATAAATATCAGAGTAATATCTACAGTATCATTTGTGGATGGTCCCAGTGCTCTAGTTACTTTACTTCTTTTTTTTTTTTTTTTTTTTTTGGAGACGGAGCCTTGCTGTGTCTCTCAGGCTAGAGTGCAGTGTGCGATCTCTGCTCACTGCAACCTCTGCCTCCCGGGTTCAAGCGATTCACCTGCCTCAGCCTCCCGAGTAGCCAGGATTACAGGCACCCTCCACTAGGCCCAGCTAATTTTTTTGTATTTTTTTAGTAGAGACGGGATTTTGCCATGTTGGCCAGGCGGGTTTCTAACTCCTAACACAATGATCCACCTGCCTCGGCCTCCTAAAGTGCTAGGATTACAGGCATGAGCCACCACATCTGGCCTAATTACTTCTTCAATCCCCATTTATTTTTATGCCATTCTATTTTATGCCATTTATTTTATGCCATTTTAGCCTCATTTACTAATAAAATTATGTTTTTACTTTCTCTTTCAGGAAATTTTTTAAATGAGTATTTTATATCTAGATCAAATGCTATGGAAAAGTGCCTTTTTATCATTTATAATTTTATTCTTCACTATTTCCAAAAACACATAAACAAATAGTTTCAATAGGTCCCAGCTTTCACTTTTTCCATTTAACCCTTCTTTTCTCCATTTCTTTCCTTTGGCTTAAGAATGGAAGAAAAGGTACATTACTAGAATTGTTTCTTTGGGGGGAGAGGGTAAAAGATTACAGAATTAGACTGTTCAAGCTTTATATAAATTAAGTTTGCCTTCATCTCAACCAGCTAATGGTAGGTCTTATCTGAATACTGATGAGAATTTTAGCATCTGTGAAACTCCATGCACATAGATGTGTGTAAATTTCAGGAAGAAAGTGTTTAAAGCATTTTCTCTGAAGTTAATTAGATGGAAATAAATCACTAAAACATAGTTTAGGTAAAGCCTGCTTATGTCACTTTTTTTTTTAACTAGACTGGGCAAAGTTGTTTATGTCAGTGTACTTCTCGTCTGTCCTCAGTTAATTTACCTAGAAGAAAAAGTGTCAAAGGAAATGAGAAAAAAGTTATATTTGAGTCCCTCCAGACCTAAGGTAATTCCTTTTGATCAGATAAAGTTGGATGGAGTGCCTTGGTTTTTGTTAATTTTGCCTGTATTCCAGCTCCTTACCATGGTGGTGGTGCTTGAAGAAAGAGCCATCAGCAACAGGTCAGGATAGTTGTACCTTTGAGATAGGGCTGCTTTCCCCATGCTAGTATTTCTGTGACTGTTAGTGGCACTGAGGACTGCAAACTTTTATGCAATATTCTTAATACCCTATTGATATTATGCACTTTAATCATTCCAAAGAAGCCAAGAATGCTGTATAGTAATGATTCCTTCCTAACAAATTCATCTTAACTCTTTAGAATATTATGTTCCTTTTCTTTTGGATAGCCAACTTGGTATAAATGTTATATGGATTTTTCTAAAATGACTGTGTAGGACTTAAGACTTTGAAATGTAATTTACTATAAGGGGAAATGATTACGCTTTAGCAGATTATTTTAGAAACATTCAGCTTGCTAACCTACATGTTTGGGAATTCATTAAAACCAGTTGTCTTTCTATATATTTT